AAAACAATGAAAGCTAAACCAGATTCAAGGAAAAAATGACCTGGCATCATGAGTTCATTTTTACAAAGAAAGAGCCACTTGGAGAGTTCCACAGAATGGTTTTAAGTCTGCCTAGATTCATTGTGTCATTTTCACAAAGTGATCTGAACAGGTCTGAGACCCCAGGTTTCTTGGGTGTAGAGTGGAAGCGAGTCTGTAGGATGGGAAACTGTCAGCAAGCTAAATGGGTTGACACAAATGAATTCCTCAGTGAATCAACTGTTTTGAGCATATAAATGGGACTACCCGTGCAACTATTTCTTTCCTTAAACTGAGCTTTTTGTTTGCACACAGGGAGCACTGATGAAGTGAAACATAACTCAAATATTGGCATAAATCTACTTTATGCTATCAAACTAGTTGTGAAGGGTATGTTTGAATCTCTGGTGAAAAGGATAGTCAGGATAGTAATTTTAGATAATCTTATAAATCATGATAAGATAGCCAGGATGTAGCTCAGTGGCACAAGCGCCTGCCTGGCAAGCACAAGGTCCTGAGTTCAATCCCTGGTACAAAAAGTAAATAAATAAATAAATAAAGACAAAATCTGTGATCAGTAGAGAAGCCAAGAGCAGATTTTAAATAGGAGGATGATTGTAATCCTGTAAATATCATAACTAAAGCAGCACAGTAAATCATGATGAGATAGAGTTGAGGCACATTATTTTGCTATTCATTTTTATATGATCCATACTTTACTTACCTCCCAAAAGGATTTAAGATGTAATTATTTTACTCGACTATTGGAATGGACCCATGTATAAAATTTAATACCAGTTTTCATTATCATGTGTGACTTTATCCTTTAATAAGTAACTATAAAATTGCTTTTGGATAATTGGAGATTTTTGTTCTGTTCATGTTTGCTGTGCATCTCTGAACTTTAGGTATATGTGTTAACCCATAAGTTTACCTATTGAGACTGTCTTACTGTTTACAAGACTTAAAGAGATTTTGTGTGATTAGTAGCAAATACATTATTTGTGCACTCCTATCTAAAGAAACCAAGGTTTTCTATAATTGAAATAGGCAAGGTTTTCTATAATTGAGGCTTTAATATTAAAAACACATTGTCCTTTGTGCAGCCTGATAAGTTGTGAGGGACAATCCCCAAGGCAATGACAGTGGTAAAGAGTGAAGCTAAGCAACAGTGGTTGTACCTGGTAGTACTTCAGTTTTCTCTTCCCTTTCAATCGCATTGCTCAGTCATACTCTTTTTAGGCTATCCCAGTCAAAGAGTAGGGGTTGTGTTTCTTGGTCAGAACAGGCATGCATAGCAACCAGTGGAAATGGGTTTAGTCCTTAAAAACCTAGCCTGATGTGGTGTCAGACGGGGCCAAGGAATAAAGTCTTGTATTCTTCATTTTGGGTATGGAGATTGAACCTAAGACCTCATATTTGCTAGATAAGTGCTGTACCACCAAGCTGTACCACCCCACCCCAATCTGCCCCTTAATTTTTTTTTTTTAATTTTGAAATAGGATCTCACTAAGTTGCCCAGGCTGGCCTTAAACTTGTGGTCTTCCTGTGATTTTAGACTCCCAAGCAGCTGAGATTACAGATGTGTGCCATCTGAAGTTTTGCTTTAGTGTTACACAATTCAGTTCAACTGTATTTTAAAAGTGAAAAATAAGGATGTTAAAATTGTTATTGTTACAGATGAAGGGCATTGGTAAATCATTCAAAAATATTGGTGGTACTTTCTCTAGGAAGATTGTTTAACTCAGTGTTTAGACCCAGGCTTTAATACTATCATGAAGTACTCTACCCTTTTTATCAGTAACCCAATGGAGGTAAGTTACTGGACTGCAATCAGTTGTCAGTCTGCCTGCTAGCCAGCATATGCCAGAGTAGTCTTTAGAGCGCTCAGGTTTTGTGCTTGTTGAACTTAAAGAGCTCCTCAGTAAATTGGAGTAGTGGTCTGGCATCATCAGTCAGCTATTTCTTGAATACCTACTGATGGGTTTTACTGTGCTCAGCATACTTTGAGTTTGTCTATGAGATTTGTGAAATTATTTTTCTGTTTTCTGATTCCAGCAGTATTGTGGAGATGAAAAATCCCTATACACATGGAAATGAGAAATCAGAGTATGAAATCAGCACACTTGCTTACCCCATCTTTCCTCTTGTCCACATCCAGTATCGTTAAGGACATAGACACAGTGATAATGTGCTCAGCCATTAGATTCAAAGGCTGAGAGGAGTGGACAAGAAATCAGTGGTTTCTACATTACCCTGTATTAAGCTGATAGTAACTTCCTTGTGTGTTACTATAGTTTAAATTACTAGTATTTTACATGAATAGTTTTTCTTTTAAATATTTTATGTAAACATCAAAATACTGTTTCCTTAGTAACAATGTCCCCACTTAAAATATAATCCCCTTCAGGAAAGTGACGTTGCCTAGTTTCAATATTGTATTTTTAGTATATCATGTCTAGCACATTATACCTGAGCAAGCATTATTTGTTGAGTGACTAAATGAATTTTTTCTGGATCTTTACCCTTTTATCCACATTGGCAATACATTCTTTAATCTTTAATGTGCAGATTTCCACAGATGTCTATAGATTAACTACATATAAAATGTATTTTTATAAAATTTTGGTGCAGATGTGAAAGTATAAATTAGATTTGGGTACATGTGGGCAAGTAGGTTATACTTTGTGATTCCTATAATTTCTAGTAGTTTCCATATCAATATCTGCATAGAACAGATTTGCATATGATATCTGACCGTATGTGGAAATTATCAGCATAGTGTTTCTTTATCTAGGAAAATCTGTTTTGTGCTCTAGAAGAACCAGTTCTGTATTCACAGTTGGAGTTGGTGTAGGTTTTTAGTTTATTAAGCAGCCTCCTCCTTTCCCATTTGGGGGTAAATCAGCCTAAGAGAAAAAGGCCTTATTTACTGCTCCTTCTTCTATATCCTAGAGGTCACAGTGGTAATGCCATTTGAAAAGAGAGATTACAGCCAGTGTATTAAGTGGTTACTTTCTGCTGACTGTACATGGTCACATATATTTGTGCAAACACATACATACATCTGAAAGAGAAATCCTTCAAAATGAGGTTTTGCTGACTACTGTGTGAGGGGTATCATTATTGAAATATAATTATTTCTAACTATCACATTAATACATGTCCACTGGGTATTTTGACAATCCCACCATACAAATGACCATTCCTAAAATTTTTTCAAATTCGTTAAATCTTTTGGATGTTTTTTTATAGCGATGGTTTTTTATAATTAAGTAGCAACATTATCATGAACATTTCAGATAATTTAAAATTCTATATAAACATTAATTTTGGGTTTGTTTTTTTTTTTCCCTGGTACCGGGAATCAAACTCACGACCTCATGCTTGCCAGGCAAGTGCTGTGCCGCTGAGCTAAATCCCCAGTCACATAAACATTAATTTTAATAGCCACATGATATTCCTCATACAGTTATACCTCACTATGAGGATTAGGCTATTTTCAGTTTGTTGGTAACCAAATTACATTTTTAAGATTATTATCTTTGTACATAAATTTTTGTCTGCCTTTATTATTGTTTCCTGAAGTTACAGTCCTAGAAGTCTGATTACTCAGTCAAAGAGAATGGCCATTTTTATAAGGTTCTTAAACACACTTCAGAATCACATTCCAGAGAAGTTATATCAACTATACTCTTACCATTTGAATGCATGAAAGAACTTTCCCTCCTTGTGAAAGAAGAGGAAAATGTACTTTTAGCCAAAAACAACTCCTTTTCTTTTTCAGACCTTCTTTACATTGTCTCAGGACGGTTTTTACCAATGTTTTAACTTTTAGTATGGCCTAGAATGTTATCTGAACATAAATAGAGTAGTTTTTAGTAGTTAATATTTTTGTTATAGTGTTTTCCACTTTTTGCAAGAATCTGTTAATACAGTAGTTGTTAATTGGATGGGGAGTCCAACAAGTCCCTTACCTTCCTAAGGAAAAGCTAGCTTTTCTTTAGATGGCTTTAATCACCCTAAAAGTTTTATCCTTCTCAGAGTCACTGGATCAGTTTACATATCCTGTAAGTAAATACAAATGCTTCCTTCATTTAAAGCAACCAAGTAGACCCCTTACTTATAAAGCGAGTTAAAACAAAACAAGAATAATATAAAAACTAAAGGAAGTAGTAAGTAAAGCATTTAGCTTTTTGAAACAATTCAGAGGGGAATAGGAAGTTGGTTTTAAATGGTTTAAAAGGGATTAAGGTTTTAAAGTTGGATAAAGAGTTTTTTGCTTTGGTTTGGGCACAGCATTGCTTTTAAAAGATTACTTCCATATTTGACAGTGATTCTAACTGCAGTTTATAAACCAAATAGTCAATTTAAAGACGCTGTGGAAAATATGAGGGTTTCCTTTTTGTTGTTGTTTGCTTATACGAAATGATTACCTAGAGTTAATAAGGCTGAATCCTGAAGCCTTTGTTTCATAATGATACTGAATATCTATCACCAGCAGAAGAATCCACCAGAAGTTTTTTAATGCACTTAATTGAGATTATCTGAGCTTTTGGTTTATATTACTTTAGAAAAGTCTAAGTGTAAACAGCTTCTTTCAAGGTAAACATAGTTCTAAAAAGGTCTTTTAAACATCACCAACTCTTAGAGTACCAACTGAATAGTTAATAAATGTCTCCAAACATCAGTAAAAGTTATATAATTAATATAATTCTAGAGTGTTTTCATTATTTATAATTATTTGAAATGTGAAAAAGTATTTTATTGAAAAGCAGCTATTGACACTTTCAGTAATTTTAAAGTAAAAAGATAATACACACTATTTTAGCTATAAAATACAGTTAATAAGTGTTCTTAAATTTTCCTTATTCTGTTTGAGACGCATGTCATATTAAAATGGGCCGAGAAGAACATATATTTTATTTACGTTTGAATAAATAGGCAAAAGTTGATGTAACATTTCCCCCCATCTTCCTCAGCTCCTTGATCTGTTTATGGTTTGGGACTGGTCTACTTATCTAGCTGATTATGGACAGCCAGCTTCTAAGTACCTTCGAGTGAACCCAAACACAGCCCTTACTCTTTTGGAGAAGTGAGTATATTTTGAGAACATTTTTATATAACATTTTACCAGACTTGGATTCAGTAACAAATGAAAAACTAGAAATTTCCATGGAAAGAAATGTATAGATGGAGTTTAAAAGCTCAGTCCATTTTAATGACTTAAAAATAAGCCTTTCTTTCTTACCCTTTGGAACTGGTATAGTTACATAGGCAGTTGCTGTTTATACTGATGTGAACAAAACATTTTCCCTGTTGTATCCTGAATTGCAGTCTTAATTGGCCTTAGAAGTATCTTTACTGGAGTGCTGTGGATGTAGCACCTTAGTGACAGAGCACTTGATTGGCATGTGCCAGAAAAGAAAAAGAAAAATACGTTTGCTGAAGACATGTGTCAACTAGAAACTGGAGCTATTTAAAACAAAACAAAACAAAACACCCTATACTACAGGAAAGAAGATATTTTGTAAAATATGGCTAGGAATTGAGATATTTGGTGGTGCTATTTAAGTCATGGATTCTTGACAAGTAGAAAAATATGTGATTTGAAAAAATATAATATTTTGAAAACTCAAGTGTCAGGATTTAGTAGGGCATTTTTACCCAGCTAAACACAGTTTGAGATTTTTCTCTTCACTCAATCATATTTCAGGCATCACTGTTAAAATTTTTAGTTTTTAAATTAAAGTATATTTTCCACATTTCCAAATACCTGTGGTATATTTGATTTGAAAGAACATAAGGAATTGTTTAACAAACATAAAACTTTATTTTACAATGTCATGGAACCCTACTGAGGCAAAAGCATTGCTGTTTTAAAATTCTAATGCTATTTTTTCTTTCACTTTGTCTTGTTATTAATGTGATTTACAGAGTCTGTAAAGAATATTTTAACATATTTTATGGAATGATATTAGAAAATAGTATGTGAAAAGGTAGCACATTTTAGATTCATACACTAATGCAAAACTACCACTTTGTATAAAATGCAAATGAAGTTGCTAATTTTTGTATGATTTCTGTATCTGTGAGTTTCTTAGTATCTGTTTTCAATGAAGTATATTTTTTCAAGTGTGGAATTAGTGTGAGATCATTCAGAACATGCCAAGATATTTTACTTGTGACGGCCATATGTTTCTATTTCCTCCGCTGAGCTTCTTCATTGACATGTTTTTAGGATGAAGGATACTAGCAAAAAGAACAATATATTTGCTCAGTTCAGGAAGAATGATCGAGACAAGCAGAAGTTGATAGAGACAGTCGTGAAACAGCTGAGAAGTTTGGTGAATGGTATGTCCCAACACACATAGAGTTCACATCGCTTGTACTCAGTGACACCAGATCCCTGTGACTGAGCCCTGATGTCTAACCAGCATGGGTCATGATACAGTAATTTGTTTACAGAATTTAAAAGTGTAGCACTGAAAATACACTGATGAGGGCTTAAACAAGAAATCATAATAGATATCATTTGTATGGATTTTTAAATAATTGAATACTATTTTATATATGGAAAAATGTGACAATTTTCAATTTTAGGGGAAGAAGGCAAAACTGTAATATAAATCAAGTCAAAAATTGTATATAAAACCAATTGAAAATTCATTAGAAAAACTTAGGCCTCTACTTCTAAGTATTTTTTCTGTTTAAACTTGAAAGATGTGTGTATTTTTAAGTATATGGTTTTAGAATGCAATCATGTCTGATACAGGAGTATTTCACTGTCGTTTTCTGATTCAGCTTTTATTTTCACATCAATGTGATTTAGACAGACTAAAAATTTTAATTCTGCTCATTCTGAGGGGGAAATATACAAATCTTTAAGGCTCCTTGAAATCAAACCTAATCCAGTAAGAATGTAAATTATTTGTTCTACTTGGTGATTTAATTTAAACATTCTGAATATGAAGGAAATGTTTTGGATTTTCTAAGGGTGCAGTGTTGTTTCTGCTCTTCAAAGTTGGTGTATCTGACTATATTGCTTGTAGCTAACCCCAGTCTAGATTGGTTTGGTTTGGTTTGGTTCAAGTTAGGAAAGGACAAGTTAATGGGGACTAACCACTTCAGATGAGCTTGTACTGGAGTAGATGTGTTCTTCCTACACACAGAAATTACCATGGGACTCAGGTTATTTTCTTCAAACAACAGATCTCACTACCATATCCTCACTGTGGAAACAGACCACATCAACTGAAGTCTGGAGAATCTAAAAGAGATGTATGTTTTTCTTTGTGTAAGTTGAGGTGATCAAAATGACAATGTAAATCTTTAAATCTGATCTTTATTTTCTCATGCTGTATGTATGCTGAATACTCCGTTTGCATCATCAGGATTTATACCTTAAAAAACTATACCTGTTCTGTAAAACAAATGTTAAGAACTATGTTTACATCTCTTGATTTTGTGATGAAATATTAAAGATTGAGCGAGTTGTTGAAAATGCACTGCTATTTTGTCTATTCAGACCTTCCTGATTTAAAACTATTTCCTTCAGAAAATACATATTATTTCCTAAGCATTGAAATGAGAGTGGCACTAAGTCAGAACAAGAAGCATTTGTTTTTCATTCTAAAGTATTTCACATTTTAAAAACATTACACAAAAAACATGGTAATTCTTCAGACACAATAAAGTCTGGACTTTGGGAGACAACCAGCTCTAACACTCTTTGAAGACTTGGGAGGAGGCTGTCCCTTGCTTCCTTACCCGGCCTTCTAGGGTACTTGGGACTGCCGCCCCCCATGCACCATGGCCTCTGGGATTGGGAGTGCAGTCTTCACACCACCGGGATCAATCCCCTGTAGTTTTTCTTAACTTTTACCAATAATGTAAGCACCCAAGCCTGCAGTTGCCTCTCCCCACACCTCAGGTTGCACTGTAGTGACAAGGGAGCGGGAGACCTGAGGCATTTTGAGCTCTACAGAGGGACACAAAGCCCTAGACACAATCTTGGATACTCATGAAGTATCCCAGGGTGGATTCGGGAGGGGGAGAGAATTAACCCCTCCGACCTGGAAGGCTTCCGCGGATACGTGCTCCATAGAGGCTTTGGGCTTCTCTCTGAAGCTGTGGCAGGAATGAAACTACCATCTCTCGAAGGATTCCTGAAGTGTCAGATCAGAGAACCAGGGCCCCAGGGAGCTTTGGACATGACAACGGGGAGTGGACGATCCCGTTTCTCCGAAAGAGAAGGAGCAAAGGGGAGCGGCTCCAGCCCTTTAACCTTGAGGTGGTGAGGGGGAGGGCATGTAGAAGCCGGAGGGTGGAGATCCCAGAACAGCCAGTGGCTAGGGATGGGCCGGAGCAGAGCGCTGCTGCGGGGCTTAAGCACTGGGACTTCGCCCACTCCAGGAGTTTACCCACAGAAAGTTCTGGCTCGAAGCCACAGGCCCCGCCCGAGGATGCACGGCTCTGCCCCCCTGTCCAGGGACCACTCCCTACTCACAGCCCCTCAGCAGGGCGCGACTGCGACACTACCCACTGCCTCCAATCATAACCCTGAATGGAGTGCTTTAAATACGTCACGATGTGTGAACCGGGATCAGTCCGTAAGGAGGGACTATATAAATGTGTCTAGGGTAGGCTGAGAATGCGGTTAAGAGTGGAGAAGAGAAAGAGGTGGGGCTAGGGTCTGCTGCCCCTTGATCTCAGCCCTAGTCTGCGACGCCGGTGAGTCGCCCCTCGCTTTGCCCTTCCTCCGCGCCTCTAGCCTTGGATCTCCGATCTCTGAGTGGGAGTAACCTGCGGGTGCTGGGTGTGAAGGGCTGGGAACCGGGGGAATGTGCAGAGTGCTCAGGCCTTGTGGAAGGCACGTTCCCGAGGGCGCACTATGACTGCCGCCTTCCACTGCCAGTCTGTTTTAGAACGGAGGTCTTGTCTAAGCCTATTAATCTCAGGCTTGGGCCCCAAGGCGCGGGTCCTTTCAGACGAAACAGGTGAGGTCTGTTCTTCGCTGCGTCCCAGTTCTTGGGCCTCAGCGCTCCCAGCAGCCTCGCCACCCCGTCTCCCGCAGGCTCATCATGTTTGCCTGGGGGCTGAGCTGCCTGTCGCCGCTGGGGGCGGTAGGCCTAGCTCTCCTGTGCGCCTGCCTGCTGCTCGGCCTGGCTCAGCACCTCTGGACCCTCCGCTGGACGCTGAGCCGGGATCCAGCCTCTGCCCTGCCCCTGCCCAAGGGCTCCATGGGCTGGCCCTTTTTCGGAGAAACCCTGCACTGGTTGATTCAGGTGAGCAGTTCATAATTTCCTGCAATATGACAGCCCCCTTTTTGAGAGGCTCCCGCTAGACCCTCTTCATTCGAAATGCTCCCGGGGTTCTAACCAGTCCTTTCCTAATCACCCAGGACTCTAGAGGGAGCGCGCAAAGCCCGTACTTACGTTTGCCTTCCTACTCTAATCTCTCAAAAAGACCTCATGTCACCTCAGTTCTCCCCAGAGCAATTTAAACTCGGCCTTAAACAACTTTAGGGTAAACTGAGTTGAGCTCTGGAAGGGGTTTCAGGAGTGTGTCTTACAAGCCTAGAATCAGCCGTGAGTCCCATTCTGAACTTCAATTTCCTCAGTTTACCAGCGGGAACGGGACCATATACATTGCTGTAGGCACATTTGACACCCTGTTTTATAAAAACTGCGCCAGCCTGAAGCAGGGAATTGTTATCCCGTGGCAACTGGGAGACCTGGGTCAGACCCCCAGTGAGGGTGAGAATCCAGAGCTCCAAGCTCCGCTCGCCCACAGGGCTCGCGCTTCCACAGTTCCCGCCGGGAGCGCTACGGCACAGTGTTCAAGACGCACCTGCTGGGCAGGCCGGTGATCCGAGTGAGCGGCGCGGAGAACGTGCGCACCATCCTGCTGGGGGAACACCGCTTGGTGCGCAGTCAGTGGCCGCAGAGCGCGCACATCCTGCTGGGCTCCAACACGCTGCTGGGGGCGGTTGGTGAGCCACATCGGCGGCGGCGCAAGGTGAGCGGGCCCAGGAGATCGTCAGACCCGAGGTCCCCGGGGTACTTGCTGGGCGCCAGGGCGGAGCCAGGTTTGGAGGTATATTGAAAACCCCAATCGAATTCCCTGGTTAAGAGCAGGTGGCTTTGCGCCAGTCCCTTACATTCCCTGGATTTGAATTACAATGCCAGGACTGGCCTATAAGTTCCTTTTATTTCTGATCTTCTATGACTGTAATACCAGAAGCGCTGGAAACGCAGATCTAGACATGTCAGAGAAGACTTCGTGGGGGAGGTAGCAGCAGAAGCCTGGATGGCTGGGAGGGACTGTGTACAGCATAGCAGAAGTAAAAGGAAGGAGAGCAAAAGCCGGCAATTTAGAGGTGGGTCGCTTAGAAGGGGCAGGGACCAGAATTGGCCTGGCTCCTCCGGAGTCTCGAAGCAGGGAAGAACCGCCAGACACCAGCGCTGATCCGCGAGCTTCCCACAGGTCCTCGCGCGCATGTTCAACCGTGCAGCACTGGAGCGCTACGTGCCGCGCCTGCAGGAGGCGCTGCGGCGTGAGGTGCGCTCCTGGTGTGCTGCTAGAGGACCAGTAGCTGTCTATGAGGCTACCAAGGCGCTCACGTTCCGCATGGCCGTGCGCATCCTACTGGGTCTGCAGCTGGATGAGGCACAGTGCGCCGAACTGGCCCGGACCTTCGAGCAACTGGTAGAGAACCTCTTCTCACTGCCCTTGGATGTGCCCTTCAGCGGTTTGCGCAAGGTACTGCTGCTCAGCCCCAGAACTTCTTCTTGGGACTCCACCTCGCGCGCATGGGTCTCCCAACTGAGATGGGGTGCTCTTGGGGCCAACCTACTTATCACCCCTGCCGGAAGATGGAGGTGGAGAGGCGTGGAGAGGCGATGTGGTGTGGTAGTGGGCGCCAGCGCCGCTTCTGTTCTCACTTGCTGTGTGAGTTGGGATCTCAGTGGTGGACATCCCACCGGCCAGTCCTTCTCACCAGAACGACACCTCCCTGCCCAGTCGCCGACACCTCCCTGCCCAGTCGCCAACACCTTTTCGGAAGCCTGCATGGTTTCCGAACAGCCAGGAACTGTAGGGCCGGCGCGCGCGCGCGCGCGCACACACACACACACACACACACACACACACACACACACACGCTCAAAACTCAGTCCGAGCCAATCTTGCGGGGGAGGGGGTGTGGGGGTGGAAGCAGATGTGATTCTGCTTTTGGCTTAGGCCCCTGGGCGCTTGAGTTTCTGGATCAACCTTCCGACTTTAAACTCAGCAGCAAGAATGCCCCACTCCACCTTCCCTCTTCCCCAGCCCTGAGACTCGCCCCTTTCCACTCCTTGCAGTGGGATTGAGCCCAGGGTCTTTGCAGGACCCACATCCTCAGCTCTTTTTTTATTTCTTTACTGTCGAGACAGAGCTTCTCTACATCGCTACTTAGTTGCCTAAACTAGGTTTGAGATTGTAGTCCTCCTGCCTCAGTGTAGATTCCCTGGATTTCAGTCACCTGAATAAAAATAATAGACACGGGTTGAGGGTCATGTTGTGCGTTGCTCACTTTGGATACATTTTCTGATTTGATCCTTGCAGCCTGCAAAATGTTATTACTGTCATTTTATTGACAAAAGAGGCTTGGCTAGGGGTAAATAACTTAACCAAGATCACACAGTATAGGGGGAAATATAGGAACTGAACCTGATATTTCTGGCTATGAAATTCACATGCTCAACTTAAGTGTCTTCCCCAGGAAATGTTTTTAATATTCCTTTTTTTTTTTTTTTTTTTTTTTGTACCAGGAATTGAACTCAGGACCTTGCACTTGCCAGGCAGGCGCTTGTGCCACTGAACTATATCCCCAGCCCCCCAGGGAAATGTTTTTAATGTGCTTCTGCCTAGAACCCTGAAATGGCATCCCAGACCTCTAGGCCATCCTTATACAGAGGCTGATACTTAGGGCATCCAACTGTGTCCTCTAAGTCAGAGCTTTCCTGGGTGCCCCTTCTCTGCACTGGTGTGCAGTGCCCTAGCCCAAGCTTATGTAGGGAAAGAGCGGTGGCCTGGCTCTAGCCTGAATGAGCTCTGCACCAGGCTGAGCACTGACAGCTACGTGATTCTGAATAGTCTCTTGACTTCCCTGAACCTCAGTTTCCTCCTTCCCCCTAAGATGACAGTGACTGTCTGCCTTGTTCAAAGGGGACTCATGAAAATCTAGAGAGAATATTTTCTGACAGTGGACAAGTTCCTGGCCACTTATTGAGCCTTACTATGTGCCAGGAATGGCGCTAAGCTGAGAGATGAACAACAGGAGTTAGTTGAGCAGAGCAGAGGCAGTGTGGTCCTGAGAAGGTTTTGAGGTAGGTAACCAAGCCTGGCCCTTGAGCCTGCCTGCCCCACCTGCCTTCTCTTCTTATGCATCAGGGCATCCGGGCCAGGGACCAGTTGCATCAGCACCTGGAGGAGGCCATTGCTGAGAAGCTTCATGAGGACAAGGCAGCAGAGCCAGGTGACCCCCTGGACCTGATCATTCACAGCACTAGGGAGCTGGGCCAGGAGCTCTCAGTGCAGGAGCTGAAGGTAGGCAGAGGGAGGCCACTCCTCCCTCTTTTTGTTACCAGCAGGTCTCCACACACATGCTCATCCCTAGTCACTTTGGCACAGGTACATCTCAGGGTGAGAGGAAAGAGGGGTCCTAGGTTTTGGTTATAACTCAGTCACACTGCTAGCTGTGTGGCCTTAGGCTCTAGCCCCCTTTCCAAGTGCATTAAAGCCATGAATTCTAAGCCCATCCTTATCAAGCTCTGACCCACTCATCCACCCCTTCAATCCCCCCAGTCTCTCACCCCATGTCTTTTGCTCTGCTGTCCTCTTGACTTATGAAACCCTCTTCTCTCTTTTTCCTACAGAATCTAAGACACTCAGGATCAAATTCCACAGCCTCAAAATTTCCCTCTTTTTCCCTAAAAGCAACTTTTCATGAGATACCTTGGCAGTTGGCACCTCTACCTGCCTATTTTGCTCCTGCAGGATTTTCTAGAAAATTAGGACCCAGACCTCTTTCCTATGTACAGATAAGAACACATGCAGTGAACAGAAGGAGGGAGAATGAAACTCTCCCTCTATTCTAGAATGGCCCAGTACCTCTTGAGAAACCAAAAAGAAGTGAAATGTAGAAGTCAGCGGAAAGTTAGAAATAGGAAGACCTCAGTCTTTCATGTATATACAGCTCCATCCTTTCTCTGGGCCTCAATTTTCCACTCTCCACCAGTCAGTGACTGAAAGGTGGGGATCAACTTTAGTTTCTTCTCAAGAATAAGATAAGTAATCTCCATCCTGACTCTTGGGTGGTTGAAAAGTCCTGAGCCTTCAAAGGGGTTGGAGAGAATAGATGAAAAGTTTGAGCCCAGCCTGGGCAATTTATCACGACTCTGTCTCAGAGTGACAGACAGAGTGAAGACCCTGGGTTCTATCTCTATTATGGTAAGGAGGGAGGCAGTTCTAGGATGTGGTGTGGAAAGAACTGGGTGATTCCTCTGCCTTCATAGGACTGAGTAGGGAGAAACAACCCTCTCAGGGAAGCAACTCCCTGGTCAGAAATCTTCCATAATGGCCTGGACAACAAGGGAGACTAGACTGGGAAGGGAGGCTATCGGGCTTTGAGGTCTCCATCCCAGCTCTCCTCCTTGTCCAAGGCAGGGCCCACAGTTAGCATCCTATGAGGATTTAATATTTCTTCCACAAATATCATTACCTATTCAGTATCAGATAGTGTGCTGTGGTGGGAGATGTGATGAGCAAATGACCCTGCCGTTCAGGTGCAGAAGGAGAGGATGCACATTCACCCCACAATCCCAGGAATCAGAGAATAAACACAAACACCAGTGCTGGAAGGAAAGAAGACACTGGACCAGAGGCAGGCAGTGAGGGTACCCTTCTTGGACAAAAGAATGGACAGTGTCCCTTTGTGGGCACAGCAGACCAGGAAAAGCTTCAGACCAATCCAGTAAGCACGATGATAAAGGCATGAGGCAGGACTGGTGTAAGGCTGGCTCTATGGCTACAGGTGCTGTGATCTGTTCACTGCAGTCACCCCCACAACACCAAGAGAGGGCTGGCGGCAGCACTACCATGAGATCAAGGGCACCAGACACCCAAACCTGGCTGTTGGGACTGCTAGCTGACCGGGCTCTAAGCACCTCTCTGAGCCTTGGGTTTCCAACCCTGTGAAAAAAAAACCGAGAGAATAATTGTCCCTCACAGGGTTTGTGCTGAGGACCCAATAAGAAAATACACTTAAAGCATTAAGGATAATATGCAGCATAAGTTCCCAGAATTATCTCTGTAAATTCTCCCAAGGCAGGTGGATAAGTCCTGAAATAGCCTGTTGTTCAATATGACTTTCCCGAGTGACAGGCTTGGAATTTAACTCCATGATTCCCGGATCCACACACATAGGTGCCACGGTAACATATCGTGCTTGTCCGTCTTAGGGTAACAGTACCTTCGCGCTCTGTGTGTCTCGGCGGTGGGGCAGCGCATAACACTCCGCGCCGCTCGCTGTCTTGTAGGAGTCTGCTGTGGAGCTCCTCTTCGCCTCCTTTTTCACCACGGCCAGTGCCAGCACATCCCTAGTCCTGCTGCTACTACAGAACCCGGCAGCCGTTACCAAGATCCAGCAGGAGCTGGCGACGCAGGGGCTGGGGCGTGCCTGCAGTTGCTCGCCCGGGGCAGCGGGGCCCCTGCTCGAATGCGGCTGCGAGCCCGACCTCACGCTGGCGGCGCTGGGCCGTCTGCGCTACGTGGACTGCGTAGTGAAGGAGGTGCTGCGCCTCCTGCCGCCGGTGTCCGGGGGCTACCGCACAGCGCTGCGCACTTTCGAACTCGATGTAAGTGCGCCGGGACCGCCGCAACGAGCATCTCCTGCTGCCCGCAGTGGTGCTGGCGGGGAGGAGAGCCCGGGATGAGCGCGGCGAGATCTCTCTTGCTCTCGCAGGGCCTCGGCTTTCCGTTTGTAACATGCCTGGGTCCTGTTCCGCTCTCCTGAGCCCTGGTAGAGGGGGTGCAAAGCCTGGCGTCGGGTGAGTCGGCAAGGTTGAGAATTTCTTATACTTAAGATTTGTCGGTAGTCTGCGGACAACTCAACTCAATTAGAGATGAGTTTTAGAATACCAACATTCTTTTCGCTAAACAGCACCCCACCCACCCCCACCCCCGCGCCGTCAGTAAGTGTGAATGGGGTTCAAAGGCTGAAACCCACTCCTCAGGCTTTTTCTCATCTGGCTAAAACTGGTTTCCAGGGAAGCACGGCATTTAAAATACAGGCAAATTCTGAGTGATGTCATCAGGCTGCCCTGGGCTAGGCAAAGTACAGGTCCTGATCTGACTCCATCTCTGAATGACTTTGGGGAGTTCTGTCTTTACAGTGGGCCTCAGTTTACTTTCTGGAAAAGCTGTCTTAGTCCTTTCTAGCTCTGAAAATCCACATAGAGCCAGGGCTGGACAGAGAAGTGGCAGCACTGGGATTTGGTCCCTTAGCGCTGCCAAACTGAGGACATTGCCTGAAAGGATGTCACTGCAGTCCTCCAAGCACTGAGCTTCTTGGCTGGGTGGCTCCAGACAAAGGGTGGGCATCTCCTTCACTGTGAACATCCAAGGTGCATTGCAGGGGTGGGAATGGGGGATTGGGATTCTGCCCAGGACCCTGAGGAGCAGGAGAAAACCAGCACTGACATCTTCATCGAAAGTGGTGGATGGAATAGCATAATTTCTAGCACTGGATGACACCAAAACATTTTCAGAACTGGCATGTGAACTGGAGCAGTGAAGGATTAGAATGAAAAGAACGCGCTACAGAGAGGAAACAGCCCAGACAAAGGTGCATGTTTAGAAGAATCTTGGATGCCAAATCTTGGAAATCATATTTCATTGTGCATGTGTGGGCATGCCCTACTGAAACAAAGGGAGAGGAAAGAGACCCAGGGAAGATTAGTAGCACGGGTAGACGCAGGACAAGAAAAGGTCTGAGCTGACCTCCAGTGCACAGATGGGAAAACTGAGGGCTAGAGAGGAAGAAAAGCTCCTCAGGTGATTCCAAGATACTGTACTCCGTCCCCTCAATGAGAATCTGAGTAGTAACCTTCACCTACCAAGGAGTCATCAGAAAGGCTTTGGAAATCTGAAAGCTTTTGAGGTGAGGGCAGCCAGATAATCAAAGGGTTGTAACACACACACACACACACACACACAAAGCTGGCTGGGAGAGCTCTTGCCTAGCATGTATGAGGCCCTAACACTAAAAGGGGAAGGAGGAAGGAGCAGAATGGTTGGAAAACCGGGGGTTGAGGAAATGGAACCTGGAAGCTGCCTTAAAACTTACGGACAATAATACAGACAGCAATACTAAGGACTTGCTAGTTTCTCATGGTCTTCTTAAAGTGTGGCTACCAGGTTTGAACATTATTGTTCAGCTGATGAGTGAGGACAGAAAGAAATTTATGAGGGAACTGACCTGGAGGAATGGGCAGTCTAGTCACCTGGTCCATCTCGGGCAGCTGATAGCTGCAGGACTAGAATATAGGTTTCGTGTTCTAATGTCAGAGGAAAAAAGAAAGGTAAAAACAAAGGAAACTAACATAAAGAAATAGATCCTGTTTACTCAGCACTACTATGTGCCTGAGCCTTTTTTTGAATTCTCACAACGAAGTGGATTTTTCCCTCTTTTGGTACTGGAGACAGAATCTCACTAAACTGACCATACTGGTCTGGAATTTGGGACTCTCAGCCTGGGCCTCCCGCCGAGCAGCCGGAACTACAGGTGTTTACCACGGCCGGCTCAAGGTGAGCATCACTGTTCTCATTTTATCAGTTAAGAACCGAGGCTCAGAAAGACTGATTATCAAGCCCAAGGTCATATGGCTCACCAGTGAAGAGGCTGACAGTTGAACACTGGATGGTCCTCCCGGGTTTTGGGTTGATCATGCGTTTCTGAGGCTTTCCCATGCCTGGTTGGCGCAGCCCAGGCGGTGGTTCTTTGGTTCGGGGCCGTTTCTAGGTGTCTCATAGTCAGGCTGGTCCCCTTGTTTCCTCGCAGGGCTACCAGATTCCCAAGGGCTGGAGCGTGATGTATAGCATCCGGGACACGCATGAGACGGCAGCGGTATACAGTAGCCCGCCCGAAGGCTTTGACCCGGAGCGCTTTGGCGCAGCTTGTGAAGAAGAGCGGGGCACCTCCGGTCGCTTCCATTACATCCCATTCGGCGGCGGTGCACGCAGTTGCCTTGGCCAGGAGCTGGCACAGGCGGTGCTGCAGCTGCTAGCTGTGGAGCTGGTGCGCACCGCACGCTGGGAGCTGGCCACACCCACCTTCCCGGCCATGCAAACAGTGCCCATCGTCCACCCAGTGGACGGGTTGCGGCTCTTTTTCCACCCGCTTGCACCTTCATCCGCGGGAAATAGGGTACACCTCTGACCGCCGACGAGCGCTTCGAGACTTGCCCAGTGGCTGCAGCACACGCGCATTCTGCACACATTCGCCGTTCACTTTTTCAATAAATCTTAATCAAACGCAGTTTGGTGCTGGAGGAGGAGCAAACTAGTCACTGGCTCTGGCCAGTGGGAAGGCGCTGCCAGCAAGCCAAGCCAGGGGGAAGGCAGGATGTGGCAAGTTTCGCAAAGCAGGGATGGAGAGAACCAATAGTCCCTCGGTGCTGCGCAAATTCACCTTCCAGTGGCCGTCAGGGGGAAGTTCACAGATCTCGGACCCCATGGCTTGAGGGGTGGGTATATAGTGCCAGAGACCTGGTGCAGACCTTTAGAGGAAGTCCAGAGGCTGGGAGCTGTCCCTGCCCTGAGGATGGGCCATAAGAAGATACGCTCAAGAGGGCAACCAACGGAAGGGCCTCAGGCAGCTGGCCTCTGGCTTGCTAAGCTTTGGCCACTCTCCCGACTTGGCAGAAACGTAGAACTGTGTATCCTGCCAGGGCTCTACATGGCTCAACATCACCGGATCTGCTGGAAATTTCTTAAAAGAAAAATTCCTTTTCAAGAAAGCATTTAATCTCCCCATTTATACAGGAAAGAATAGGTATGCAGAGATGTCTCTAAGGCTGGTTCATGGGACGTTGTGATATAATCCCTTCATGAGAGGTTGAGATATAATCAGAGAGGTTTGGGATATTTGTACCAAAAACAGGAAGGCCAAGAAATAAAGTTTCTTGCCAGTGACTGAGCAAGGAGTCTAGGGCTTAGCTGGGCAGCTACTCCCTGGTGGGAAGGCACTCGTGGTGGGCAGGGAAGGCCCAGGAAGGACCTACCTGAAGGACCCACCCCAATGCATATCCAGAGAGGCCAGAAGCTAGCATCCCTGTTCCCAAACTCTCCCACCTTTCTTCCGAAAGATAGTCCTAGAAAACTCGGCTTCGAGTTATCCAGGGGAAGCTTGTTGCAGAAACTTCCCAGTTTACTGTTTCAGTACCCTATTGCAGAAAAACTGAGGAGCAGAGAGCCCAAGGAGCCTGCACTCCCCATCATTTATCTTGCCTGCTCTACCTTCAGGACCCGTGCCCATGTAGGATCCAGCCCTTCGGCCTTTTCATTGGTATCCCTAGCCTGACCTAACTACTACAGTCTGTCCCTTCTTAACACAGGGGTTCCCACCATTTTAAACCAAAGTCAAGGGTCTCTGTGCCATCATTTCTAACAGCCTACTTCAACCTGCCACCCATCCTCCCAGAGGCTGGGCAGCTGGACTTGACTCTTGAGCCAAGAAAGTTGCCTCTCAGGCCCAAGCTGACCCCTTAGTGAACCAAAAGGAAACAGGCGCCCTCCTGACCTTATGCTTAAGGTGGATCTGAGGGCCTGAAGGAAAAGGGGATGTGACAGGCATGGGGTTGGGAGCTCAAGACCACAGTGGGCTCTTCTGAGCCAGGCTGACACCACCTTAAACCCCACACAGAGCATTTTACCACCCATGGCCCTTTGCAGGTTCGGGCCCTAAACTCAGCAGGCACTAGAGGCAGCAAAAGTAGCTGGAAGCTGGAGTGCCCTCAGGGTGCTTTGAAAACCCTGAGGGAATCCTGGTCTGAAAAGCAGGGATCTGGGAGAGAAGGCCAAAAGACCCCACTTGAGAGTTAATTCTGATTTGGGGAGAGAATAGAAATATGAAAAGGGGTCTGTCAGAAGCCAAGATAGCTAAGCTGGTTCCAAGGGACATAATTTACTTGTTCTGGGGTCTGTAGTGGTGGCTCCAATTTTACTCTAATTAGCCATTGCCACCTCTGGTTTTACTAGCTCCATGTTGTCAGAGGAAGGAGCAAGTGTGGTCCTTTGGCCTTCTAGACTTGATTTACCTTCCTGGATTTGATATGCTTGTGGACACAGACAATAAATAGATTAGAAAACAAAAACGAGGAAGAAGCTGTCCAGTGGTGATAAAAGCTGTAAAGAAAATACAACAGGCCTGTAGTACAGACTGCCCTGGGCTAAATTCCATGGCATATGTGTGGGAAGAGCCTCTCTGAGGGGTGATATTGGATTTTGGAAGGAAAAGGTCAATGGGGGCCTGGGGGAGGGGCACTCCAAATAGCAGGTACAAAAAGGTCAGACCCAATAAAAGGAGCGCTTTGAAATAGGAAGGCTATTTTGTAAATATTTTGGAAACATTTTGTTTTCCAGCGACCACTCCACCACCATAGCCCAAGAAAACTTGGTGAGGTTTTTAGATCGAAGTTCTTAGTGGGTTGGTAATTTATTGACCCTCCCTCCCCTCTTTAAAATGTTCTTTAGTGATTTCTCACTCTCATATAATCTTTCCCTGCCAGACACACCCGCAGGTTTCGATGGGCAGATAGATTGTTTAAAAAAAAAAAAAAAAATTTCCCCCTGTGGCAACTTCCAGAGCACTCATCTCGTGGCCGGCGCGCACTGAACTTGGCGAGGTGGCAGCGCAGAGTTCACTCGGATGTCAGGGTCCGGCCTGCAGGGGTCACAGGCGGGTCAGGCCGGAGCTTGGAAATGGGCCTCAGGTCACGCCCCCTGCTCGCCAGCTTTGCACCGCGGCAGAGGCGTCCTCCAGAAAGGGGCGGGCCGGAGATTTCTGAGAATTACCTCTAGCGGGATTTGCCGGGGTTCCAGCTACCGCTCAGAAGTCGGCTTGCCCGGTTTACAGTCCCCAAATAGAAGAAACAGCAGTGGGAGGTGGGGCCTCCCCGGAGCTGAAACGCTGGATAGGGGAAATACGCCCAGGGGCACCCCGGTTTTGAGTATTGCTGGAACCTTACAGGTCCTTAGGACCTCCGTAGATATTTCCGGACTCCCTTCAAGTTTGGGGACCACGCGGGAGGGCTACGTATTTAACAGCTCTCAAGATCTAAGAGTTTTTCCATCTCCAAGGGACGCTTTCCGCGGCGCAGGGATGTGTGCTTCTCCGGGAGCCACCGTACAGTTCTAAACAAACGCACGTCGTTCTGTTTCGTTTTCTGCCTCCCTGCTGAGTTGCGTGCCCAAACCAAAGCAGCCCGAGTCCCTGACTAGTCCTAAGCAGCGCGGCCCGGCCACACGGGAAGTTGAAAGCGCACGTGTGCACCCACAGTGTCCGAGCTCAGGTACTGGCCACAGAGCAGCTGACTGAAGTTGGGCAAAGTCCGGAGGACGCGCTCCCCAGTACGCATTCCCTCAACCTTCCCTTTAGCGGCCGGCAGACGCCTGGATTTAGAGCCAAGAAGCTCTCACCAGGGCGAGGCTGGAGGCTTTACACTGGATGAGAGCTTGGGAGAGCGAGGAAGGCTCCGGAGCCTCGCGTCCACCCTCATAACGAAGCCTGGAGGCACGGAGCTGGGAGCTGGAAGGCGTATTTACAACCGGAGGCCTCCTTTTAGGAACTCACAATTGCCCTGAGGTGTAGACCGTAGGGAGCTAGCTTCTATCCAATGGATGAGGGAATAGACAAGAGACTGTGTCATGATGACTTGCTCAAGGTCAGGAAGTAGATACCGAGCTAGGACTACTGAGGTTTCCTGCTTCTGCCTCCGACTTCTTGTCCTGCTAGGGCAAAGGACCCTTTTCCTGCTGCCTAAGTGGTGGCTGCAAGCCCCAGGGCCCCCAGAATAATGCCGGCGTGGCCACCTCACGCAGCCTCGGATCTCTAGCTACGGATGACTTGCCCATGCTGTTCGTCGCTGGGGCGTCAGAATAGGGGAGCGGGCTTATGTAGAGTAGGACCTAGGGTCCTGACGGGCCCGGACGTTTATTTGCACCCTAAGTGCAATACTTCTTGAGTGCTGGCTTCCTTGCGGGGGCTGGTGAGCTAGAATCCACGCGCCTGTCATATGACTCCCCATCTCTTGTTTGGATCATGACCCTGGACTCTTCTTGGGATCTTCCGAAGACTCCGGAAACCTGCGTCTTGCTCCACTGGATGATTCCTGAACGCACATCCACTTGCTTCCCCAGCAGGTGGAAAGGGGCTCAAGAGGCGCTTGTAAACGGAAAGCAACGAAGGCGGCTTTGGGTCGGGGTGGCCGTCCGACCTGGATGGAGGGAGTCCAAAGAGACCGTCTGGAAGCCTAGAGCTCGGAATTCCCGCTCCCCCGCCCCCATCCCTCACTCCCTGGGAGGCGTGCTCACCTTGGATGCGAAAGGCGGTGCTCCTGCCCCGCACCCCAGGAGACGCGCTCCAAGGAAAGCCGCCGCGGAACAAACGGTTAAACATTTTGGGCAGCGCCTCGCGGGGGGAGGAGCCAGGGGCCCAATCCGCAATTAAAGATGAACTTTGGGTGAACTAATTGAACAAGGTAACGTGGGCAGGACCCTAAGTACGCCTATAAAGGGGGCGCGCGGCGGGGTTTGGAGCGCTGGAGGCGGCAGCAGGTGGCGCGGGAGGCTGCAGAGTGTCATGGGGCTCCCCGCGCTGCTGGCCAGTGCGCTCTGCACCTTCGTGCTACCGCTGCTGCTTTTCCTGGCTGCGACCAAGCTGTGGGACCTGTACTGCGTGAGCAGCCGCGACCGCAGCTGCGCCCTCCCCTTACCCCCTGGGACTATGGGCTTCCCTTTCTTTGGGGAAACATTACAGATGGTGCTGCAGGTAAGGGAGCTTGGGGCGGGACAGGACGCCTTCCCGGAGCCGGCTTAGCCTCCGCTCTAGACTGGGGTAGGCGTCCTGGTGAGGGAGGCGACTGCGGCTGGAAACGTTGCTAGCTGGAGGCGCGACCCTCCCCGGCGCCCCCTCACTCTCGCCTCTCTCCTTCACCTTCCTCTCACAGCGCAGGAAGTTCCTGCAGATGAAGCGCAGGAAATACGGCTTCATTTACAAGACACATCTGTTTGGGCGGCCCACGGTGCGGGTGATGGGTGCAGACAACGTGCGTCGCATCTTACTTGGAGAGCACCGGCTGGTGTCGGTCCACTGGCCCGCATCGGTACGCACCATCCTAGGCTCTGGCTGCCTCTCCAACCTGCACGATTCATCACACAAGCAGCGCAAGAAGGTGAGGGCGGGGTGGCGACGCCTGGGCAGGGAGGGGAAACCCCATTCATTGGAGGAGTTCGGGCAGATAGATGCTGGGTGAGCACTAGCAGTATAAAATGTGACCCAGGACCTTCTCCGAACTCCAGTTTAGCTTTGATTTAGCTTTCCCGGCCATGATGTGCTTTGGGACTGGAGGGGCTAAGGGTGAAAAGGGGGCACAGAAAGGACAGAGAGGCAAAGAGAATTTTAAAGCTCATTGCTTCTCCTGGCTCAGGTGATTATGCGGGCCTTCAGCCGCGAGGCACTCCAGTGCTACGTGCCAGTGATCACTGAAGAAGTGAACGGTTGCTTGGAGCAATGGCTGAGCTGCGGCGAGCGCGGCCTCCTGGTCTACCCCGAGGTGAAACGCCTCATGTTTCGCATTGCCATGCGCATCCTGCTAGGCTGTGAGCCTCGGCCCGCGGGCGGCGGGGAGGACGAGCAGCAGCTAGTGGAGGCCTTCGAGGAGATGACCCGCAATCTTTTCTCGCTGCCCATCGACGTGCCCTTCAGTGGGCTATACCGGGTAAGAGCGGTAGCCTGGGTGAGGATCTAGGGGTGCGCCACTCACGGTGCGAAGCTCGAGGCGCAGCAGCGTATGCTCATTGCCATCCACCCCCTGCGCTCAGGGCGTGAAGGCACGGAATCTCATTCACGCGCGCATCGAGGAGAACATTCGCGCCAAGATCTGCAAGTTGCGGGCGGCGGAGACTGCCCGGGATTGCAAAGACGCGCTGCAGCTGTTGATCGAGCACTCTTGGGACAGGGGAGAGCCGCTGGACATGCAGGTGAGTGGTGGCCTCAAAAGGGGGGCTCACAGTTGGCTCCCTGGCTTTCCAAGCGCGATTCCTAGGGCTCTGAGCAACCTGCTGAGTTGGGATTCCAAAGGTCGTTTGGAAAGCTTTAGAAGAGGCTGTCGTGGAAAGGGGACTGTCCCCTAGTCTCTCCAGGTTTTGAAAGGAAAGACGGAATTTGCAAAAACTTAGTAAAGAACTTTGGGTGATCTTAATCCAAAGCTTTAACTCAGGAGGTTCCGAAGACCTGAAGAGTGGGATCTTACTCGCCTTCTGTCTCTAGCTGAACTAGACCGTGCACTTTGTTTAATGAGGTTGAGTTCCTTGGTTTTCTATCAGCAAAACTTTTAGCCCTTCTGGTCTTCCCTCCAGTAATCCACCTCTCAGTTCTCAGTAATCCATTGGTAAAACTGCATGTAGATTCCCCTCCCCCGGAGTACCTGGGTTTGAACCCAGGGCCTTGCATATGCCGAGCAAGCCTCTGCCCCTGAGCTACATTCCTGGCCCACTGAGTGGTAAAATGTGCTTACCTCATTTTTAGGCACTAAAGCAATCTTCAACTGAGCTTCTCTTTGGAGGACACGAAACTACAGCCAGTGCAGCAACATCTCTGATCACTTACCTGGGGCTCTACCCACATATTCTCCAGAAAGTTCGAGAGGAACTGAAGAGTAAGGTAGGAGGACTCTAGGGGCTCTCTCTCTCTCTCACTCTCTCTCTCTCTCTCTCTTTTGGTGCTAGAAATCAAACCCAGGGTTTTGCACTTGCCAGGCAGGCACTATGCCACTGAGCTACATTCCCAGGCCCTAGGCGTTCCCTATTAATGTAGGAAATTCAGCTGCTCTCTCACCAACTTCCCAGCAAATAATCTACCATTGCTGAATATTTTTAAAGTGCAGGGCCAAGGTGAGTAGGCTGGTAAGGGGAGAGAATCAGCTTTGTGAATTGAAAAGAATGGAATCTTGAGCATTCCCACTTGCGCAAGGTTCGGCCTTGTACTCCCGCCCATCTCCACCTTTTGCAGATAAATTCCATTTCCTTGGATTTGGATGTTCAAGGGCAATAATAGCATCACCAGAAAAAAATAGCTGATCAAGGTGGGCAGTGGTGGTGAGTGTATGAGTGGGGGAGCTTGACCCTTCTATCTGGTGAGCAGCATTCTCCTGGAATTGTAAACAGATAGTTCATGTGGGTGCAAATGGTCACCAGCTATTGTTTCCCCCTCACACTGTCCCATCCTGAGGCCCTTTGAGTTTAGTCCTGTTTACGTCTGCTGAACTGATTTCATTGGATCAGAAAATAGCCATTCACCTCTGTATGACTGTTTTGACAGGGCTTACTTTGCAAGAGCAATCAAGACAACAAGTTGGACATGGAAATTTTGGAGCAACTTAAATACACTGGGTGTGTTATTAAGGAGACCCTCCGCCTGAATCCCCCAGTTCCAGGAGGGTTTCGAGTTGCGCTGAAGACTTTTGAATTAAATGTAAGTGAAGAGTTCTTCTAACTCTGTACCCTCATCCTGCTCTTGTGGTTTAAAACCTACCCTTGTTTCCCTGAGCATTAATTTCAATTCCTTGTATTTTGAGAACATTGTCCTGTACTATGTGGACTTGTTTCAGTAACCTGAATGAATCTCTTTCTCCCTCCCTCCTCTTTTTTACGTCATAGTACCCCAGGAGTACCTGTGATAGCTTTTTGTGGTTGAAAGCTAAATTCCATTTTGTCAACTCCTGGGATTTCATAATCTTTTACAGGGATACCAGATTCCCAAGGGTTGGAACGTTATCTACAGTATTTGTGATACTCATGATGTAGCAGACATCTTCACTAATAAGGGAGAATTTAATCCTGAGCGATTTATGCCACCTCACCCAGAGGATGCGTCCAGGTTCAGCTTCATTCCATTTGGAGGAGGCCTTAGGAGTTGTGTAGGCAAAGAGTTCGCAAAAATTCTTCTCAAAATATTTACAGTGGAGCTGGTCAGGCATTGTGACTGGCGGCTTCTAAATGGACCTCCTACAATGAAAACCAGCCCCACTGTATATCCCGTGGACAATCTCCCTGCAAGATTCATTCACTTCCAGGGAGAAATCTGATGGGCATGAATGCTCAAACCTCAGACTTGTTGGAAGTGTACATATGAATTTTTATATAGTGTCATATTGACTTATTATATTTAATTTCTAAATGTATATTATATTTATGTGTCTCTACTATAGTACCATGGCCTTTAAATGTTAAAATAATTAATTTGTATGATTTGAATAAAGTAAAATGTGAAAGTGCTTTTCTTGCATTTAAGATTCCTTTTGGGGAAAATCCACTGTTTTAATGTTTGTGCTTAGTGTATTGAGCCAGATGGCTAAATGTCTACCTGGACTTATTTGCCATCTGTGCATACCTATTTTCTATAAGGAAGAAACTTCATTTTTTTTCCTTCCAACAATTATGTGTGTCTGTTAGTCCAAAAATCTGTCTGCAAATTTTTCTGAGGTAATTTAGGTTTTCTATCTGAAAAACATCTATCAAGGTTAGTTTAACTAAATTTTTATCTTTGCATTGCTGGGGATTGAATGGAGGGCCTCACATGTGGTAGGCAAGTGCAGGGTCTCATGCATGCCAGGCGAGTAATTTTAATTTTAAAAAAAATTAAAAAATTTTTGGTGGTTTTGGGGATCAAAACTAGGGACAGGTTAGTGTGTTGGGGGGGTGGCTTCATTTTAGAGAAACATCATTCTGGAAAGGTTACATGCTGCCTGAGAACTATCATCCTAATATAAAACTTTCAGTGTATCTAACATTCAATAAAAAAATCCGCATGGTCCGGCAGGATCAGGGTTGCTCTCCAGAGTTAAGGTTGTAGACAAGACAAATCCAGTCATTCTAATTCTGGACAGTTCTTAACTAAAATGAGACCAAAAAGCACTGACATGTCACCTTTTCTTAGAAGTTGCATATGAAAACAGTGCCGAGAAAGGCAAGTCGCTGGTTTAGATAAGCTGAGCCCAGGTTTTCTTTATTCAAAAAGAGGCAGGAGGAGCAGATTTAGCAAACTGACAGATAAAGTTTTTATCTATCCCAGGCAATAGGGTGTGAGCCTGACATGACTGATAAAATGGCCCAGTCATGACCCTGTGAACCTTGGCTAACCTCCGTGAAAGAGCAGTTTTGTCACATTTCTGACCCTGACATGACCATGTTCTGAACTGAAGGCCAGACTCTCAATCCAGAAGAGTTAGCCCCGGTGACTTGCTTATGCAAGCACATTTTCCATTTTGAAATGGCACAATCTGCTTACTGAACCTCTGATGGCTTGTAGGTTTTGGACTTTAAAATTTTCATTACAATTTCAGAATTTGGCAATGCCACAGAAACCGGGTGGTCTAAGTGGATGTGTGAATGGGGTTCTGTCTACAGTTAGAGTTGTATGTTTTACCTGAGTTTAGTATGTAGGTGGAACTCGGGGTGGTACTTATTGTTGGAACCCTCTGATTTTTAGAGTGTTTGCATAATAACTTCTAATGCCTTCTAACACTTTATAAGGCCATTTAAACAATGAATTAGGCTATCATAGTTTCAGCCAAAGTTTTAGTGTCCTGTAGTATGCAAAGATGACCCCTCTGCCTCATTACATTTGCCCTAGATCTTTCCAGCTAGGAGCACACTAGCCTAAGGGTACCATTATTTCAGATAGTTTTTACCAGATGATTTTTAAAATGTTTTAACACTTCTCCTTTTACTGGAGGACAGTTTGCCTTTAACAATATCTTTGGTGACTATGTGGTCCTGTACATTATAAGCATAATGCAGTAAAAATTTGAGCCATTTTAATATATAATTCAATTTTTTAAATGTACTTCATTTTTTAATCTGGAAAACTTTGAGGGAAGCACTTCTGAGTTGCCTTTCCCAGGGTTACTTTTAGCACAATTACACAGATCCGTTATAGAATTTACCTCAAAAAAATGTTAAAAACCCAATCTTTGATGATGTGCTGAGGGCTGAATGAAGACAGTTTAGAAATTCAACAGTGTGAATCTGACTGGACGTTTGGGGGTTGCTGTATGGAACATAAAATAAGTCTGGGTCACATCCCAAGCAAGCATGTGTCATGGCATAGGTACCTCTGGGCAAGTGTCCATGTGATGGAGCAATGATGTAGATTTGCCTAAAGTGGGGGGAGAGGGGACTCAGATGAGGGAAATGATTTTTTGGGTTCCCGGGAGTCTGCACAGTAACGGCTGTGTTCTCTAGGCTGTGGGTTAGAGCTATCAGACCGGGCAGGTTGGAGCCTCTGTATCCTTTTCCACAGTGTCCTTTGCTCTGGTCACCTCTCTTGCCCTCTTGTCTGCAGTCAGAGGTACGGCACCACCAATCATAGACCACTCTTAAGAGTTTGATGTGAAAGCCTCACGCTTTGGCATTCCTAAGGATTGGGGGCTCAGAGATGGGTTGTGATTTGCCTGAAGTCACACAGCAAGTGGTGGAACCAGAAAAAGTCTCCTGATGCTTGTTTTTTAGTTCTTTCTTTAAAAAGTATTTATTTCTTTATTTCTGTCTGTATTAATTTGGTGGCACTGGGGATTGAACCCAGGACCTTCACACTGAGCTACATCCCCAGTCCATTTTATTATTTTAATTTTGGGACAGGGCTTCTCTAAATTGCCCAAGCTGGGCTCACACTTGTCATCCTGCAGCCCCAGCCTCTTGAGTAGCATGTGTCACCACCCCCAGTCTCTTCTTTCTTTTTTAAAAACAGCTAATATCGTCTGCCTATCTTTCCAACTTCTGTAGCCAACCACCAAATCCAGGGACTGCGCCACACTGCATGTCTCCTGCCACTCCTCCTCATCTCTGCCCCAGTGCAGGCCAATTCCTTTGGAGGCCACCAGAGGAGACTGGTGAAATGGGAGTTGTGAGATGAAATGGCTGCTTCTTCCAGACCCTTCCTCTTCAGGGTGGTTTGTGCTTTTTGTACCTTGCCACTCCCCCAGTGCTCCACAAGGGGGCGGGCTTCCCCCTTCTATGCCAGCCTCAGGGTCTAGTGATTTTTCCACCAGTGTCCATGAAGTGCAGGGTCCATGTACTCTGGTCCATAGCGGCTTTGATCCCAGACAGAGAAGCCGTGGAATACCCACAGTTTAGGTACGTACTCCACGAAAGGCATGACCAACACTGCCTGGCTTCTTTGGAAGGGGTCACCTCAGGCTGGGTTGACTTAAATCATCTTTCAGTTCCTGAGCCAGCTATCAGTCTTCCGTGGTCTCTGGGAACAGCCATCCCAGATTTTCAGCATTTGCCCACAGGCTGCCCGGGATCTGACCTGGATGCTCTTACTCAGTGGTGGCAAACCTACGGCACGTATGCTGCTGCGGGATGTTAGTGAGCATGGAAAGCTCTATAAGGTTCACCATCACTGCTCTCACCCTACCTAGAAAATCATTCTCAGTTTTGAGGGAACAGTGATTTCAGTTTTCTGAAAACGTGGGCAACCTAGTTAGTGTTCAGATGACTTTAGCAAAGTCCTGGAGGCATCTCATAAAAACACTGCGGGAGGAACAAGTGCTGTTTAGAATGATTGTGGTGTCTTCTTCAAACAATTCAAATGCAGCTGTAAATACAGGCCCAAACCTGTTCTGAAGAACAGAACACGTACTTAGGAGGGCGAGGTAGAAGAAGGGAGATGTGAACAACATGTAAGGAGGCAACTAGAGCCCTTTGGTCGTGAAACAGGCTACCTTGTGAGAGATCAAGTTCCCTGTCAACAGAGACATCTAAACAGAGGCTGGGTAACTGAGCAAGCCATCACAGGGATCATGATATGCAGGCTGAAGCTGGGTTAGATGACTCTCCTAGTTCTCTTCCAAAGTTAAGAAATTGTGAAGCTCTGAAACTTGATTCTGTATTAGTTCAGTTCCTCACATACCTACTTTACTTTGAAATGCAATAAATACTCCAGTCTAGTAGTGGAGTATTTAAACATTTTCATCTTTAAAATGAAATACTCCAATGTAGGAGATAGGATGCCTCATATTCTCTTGCAGCACATTCAGTAGTCCTTAGCGATTATTCTCTCCAACCCCACGGCCAGATGTGGAGGTGGGAGTGCAGGGGCTCAGAGCTGTGATCTCAGAGGCAGAGTGTCAAGTGATTTGTTGTTTCCAGCTGCAGTATACCTGTGAATTTTCTCCTAGCTGTTTTCCTATGATGACCATTCACTAACCTCAGGGATAACATCCTATGTTCTTTAGCATTCCCACAATGCCATGCGCGGGCACTGGAGTCTGACCATCCCAACTATCTTTTTTTCTCTGCCTTCTGAAAAGCTACTCAAGGCCAGGAAGTGTGTCTTATCATTTCTTATCATTCTAATCTTGTAAATTTAACCCATACTCAAACACCTCCTGTGCTCCCCCCAAATATACTTGCACATAGTAGGTGTTCTTTGGGAGAGAAAGCTTCCTGGGGCCAACTGACACCATTTACCATGTTTCTCCAATTTACATGGTGCCATGTTTTTCTTTGAAAAGTGAAACTTTCATCCTTGGAAAATCTCAGAGGCCGCAAGCTTACACGGCTGTGGTTTAACAGCATGTCACATTCCTGAAACCGACGCTCCATGGGTTTTTGGCCAAACAAGCTTTCCTTCCTTTGAAGTAGAGTCAACTCAAGTTAGAACCCTGGGACAGGGGTGGAGACTTAGCTCTGGACTGTGTGGTGGGTTTTCTGGGTGAGAGTTATCATGTTGCATCAATATTTGTAACCACATCTCCACAGTACAAAATCTGCCTCTCACTGCAGCCAAATCCTCCCTGGTCCTTGAAGGGTTGGATATCTATGCATGTGTTTCTGGTAGTAGTTGCTTCAAGATTTCTACATAAAGTCACTAGTAAGTTCACTTAAGTCATGAAATGAGAACAAAGTGCTTCACTTATAATATGACTACATTTACTAATTACAGCCAAATCAATTCATTGATTGATTCATTAAGCACATCCATATCATCTGACATAACTGTGACCTACTTAATGATAGTTGAGGGGATTCAGTATCTTGAAATAGAAAGTTCATTTAATATCAATTAGTCAAAGATTTTAGAGCTGAAAAAAAGACTAGGGACAGTTCATCTAAATCCCTCAGGTTATAGCTGAGAAATCAGAGGTTCAAGAAACCTTAGGTTTCAACAGAGAATGTGCCTAGCGCATTGTAGCACTTTGCCCCCAATTTTTTTTAAAAAGCTACATTGCTTATTCATATAAGCATCAGGGGAAAACAAGCAGGTGAG